TAGAATATGCTTATTCTGTAAAATTGTACACAACTCTCATGACTCTTCAATTCTTTTGTTTCCTACATTTTGAGTTCAAGACCCATTAAAATATTTTTAAAAAACAGAAACATGTAAACTTGGGCAAACTAAACCAACCTGCCAGCAAGTAATGTCCCTTCTGAATCTATGAGCAAGTTACAAACATAAGAATTGGAACTAGCTGCTCTTGACTTACTATTATCATCTAGGTAATATATTCAATTACTTTATCCTGAAACTTCCTGAGGGCAGGCACTTTTTTATTATATTTTTATTTTCCAGTTTCTAGAACAGTGCCAGGCACACAGCAGCCACTTTTAACAAATGTTTATTGACTGAAGAAATGACTGAATGAATGGTGAGAGTATGAAGACTGCATCACCTCTCTTGAAATTTTCTGGAGTATCCTTGCCTTGTTGACCATGTCTTTTTCTTGTTCAAGAAATAGTAGACTACTTATTTAGAATATAAGATATTGTGTTTGTGTTCTGAAAAGCCACTTGAATATTTTCCTACTACTGATTTTACAAAAAGTTTTAAGAAGTTAGAACCGTCATGCATCCTTTTCTAAACCATATTATAGTTGTTCATGTCTTACCTCAGACTGTAACATTTTGAGGGCAAGGATTATTCTTTGAATCCCTCCATAGGATTGACCACAGTGCCATGACAGTAGATACTTAATAAATATTACTGAATGAATGAATAAATGCTGTCTGATAATTTTGATTCATTTAGAGAATTTCTCTCTAAAGTGTTTCTCATTCTCACAGCTGTACCTGCTATTGCAATTGTTCTCATGGCAGCATCACAGAAAATTCCTGATTCTTCCTGCATAGAGGCCATCAAGGCAGATGAGGATGGCATAGTCCTACTCTTGCTGTTCCTCTCACAAACAATGTTTGTTCTCTCACGAAGATCTAATTAAACTGTTACGCACCACATTCCTCTAAGGACTAAACCAAGGATGACTTTTCCAGGCTTCTAATCTCTTAAATTGCCTATGCATCAAAATTCTCCCCATCGCCATTATTGGTAACACCTTGAAATAACTGAAAATTATGCCAAAAGGAAATGTGCTTGCATGGAAAATCTCTTGCCTTTGGATGTGTAACAAAATAGCTCCTAATGTGGAAGAAAGAAAATCTTTTCTGCTTTGTGAACCAGCAAAAATCTAATAAAAGTGTGTCTCCCCTGGGTACTTCACATCATTAGCATGCTGGCTTCACGCTTCGATTTAACAAATAACTTATTTTAAAAGTTTCTCCAGGGAGAAGATAAGGAGCCAAAAATATCTTGGAAGAAAACTTTACCTAGCAACCTGATAAAGCTGTTTCGTACAGTTTCCAAAATTTAACTTCATGCAGCAAAGTCTTTGTGATTGTTTTTTAGTTTCTGATTTTGGTATGTATTGAAACTTCTTTGTGGCTACTATCAAAATTTATCACTTACTATATTCCAGGACATGTGCTAACCATTTTACATATGCACATACAACTTAATCTTTCCCACAAGCCTATGGAATAAGAAGTATTACAGGCCCTATTTTACTAATGAAGAAACCGAGGTTGAGAAGAGTTAAGTAATTTAGTCAGTCCTATAATTTGCAAATGGCTAAACCTGTATTTATCTGACCTTAAAACCTATACACTTGTTTCACTTGGGGAGAATCTTAAAAAGTTAAGTGAACAAGTAACTTTTTTCCTTTTATATATACAAATCTTTCAATGTTTGTTTATATCCATCTTTTTCTTCCCTTTTTTACCTTCTCAAAAAAAGCCACCCTCCTCACATATCACTTCATTCCCTCCCGCCACACCTGCTCTGAATTCCTTGCTGTTCCACCTTGCCGCACAACTCCAGGGAATGCTGTTCACAAGGTGTTCTCTGTGGGTGGCACTTCCTGAAGCAAGACTTCAGAATGCAATGTGCATGGTGCCCCCTGGATTTGTGTGGCCACCAGCTCTGTGGATTCTCTCCCCTCTCATATTATCAAGAACTTCAGCTCTGCATCAATCTCTCTCTCTCCTAGATTATTATAATCAGCATATGAACACATGTACAATTGGCCCTTGAATTCATGAGAGGTTAAGGACTCTGGTTCCTGTGCAGTCAAAAATCTGTGTATAACTTTTGACTCTACAGTCGGCTTTTCATATCCACGGATTCAACCAAACAAGGATGGAAAACGGTATTTTCCTTCTGCAGCTGGGAATTCACGATTAAGAACAAGAAAATGTTTTCTATCTGAAGTTAGTTGAACGTGAAATTTGAGGATACAAAGGACTTTACTGAAAAACCTCTGCGTATAAGTGGACCTGAGCAGTTCAAACCGTGTTGTTCAAGGGGCAACTGTATTACTCTCTGCCTTAAAGACAAACAAAATCCCCAAGAAACAACAACAACCACTTTTGACCCTATATTCTTCTCTCACTTGATTTTTTGGTAGCCTTCAGTATCATGAAACATTCACCTTTCTTGGGATCTGTGTCATCAAGCTTTCCTTATTTTTCTAATTTTCTAGCCACTCCTTTCCTCTCTCTTTCACTGGATACTTTTTCTTAATCCAACCCTAAATATAAAATTTCTTCAGGCTTATATAAGGTTCCTTTTCTTCTCTTTCTACAGTCTCTTCTTAAATTATCTCATCTATTCTTGTGATTTAAAATACTCTCAAATTTATATGTTTACCCCAGGTCTTCCCTCTGAGTCCTAGTCTTATACCCAATTTTCTCCTGGACAGCTCTCCTGGGATGTCTTAAAGCCTGTCAGACTTAACACTTGCCAATCCAAACACTAATTTTCTTGCTCCTTCCTGTCTTTCTCATCTCAGGACATGTCATCATCCTTGCTTAGGCCAGACATCAGAAAATTATCTTTGATTCCTTCCTTTCCCTTATCTCTGCATGTAATTCATTATTAAGTCCTGTCTATTGTATCTTCAAAATACATATCAAATAAGTTGACCTGGTCTGCTGACCACCCTAGTCAAAGTCTCCACACCATCTCTCACTGGATGCTTTAATAGTCACCAGCTGCTCCTACTTCCTTTACCCCGCCCCCACTTATCATATAGCAGTCAGACTATTACAAAATGTAAATAGGATCACATTGCTCTCTTGCTTAAAACATTTTAGTGACTTCTGTTGTACTTCAAATAAAGTTCAACCTTGGCCTAGAAGACCCTATATGGTCTGGCCCATACCTACCTCTCCAACTTCATCACAAACACTGTGCTCTAGGTCTCTTTGGTTCATTAGACATATCAGACTTTTCTACCTTTGATCCTCATCTGCTATTCCCTCTACTTGGAAGCCTTCCCCATTCCCAACCTGGCTGCCCCAATCTTATCCTTTGGCTCTCCTCCAAGTTTCTTCTTGTCAAGGTTACCATTAACCTCTACATTACTAACAGAGATGCTGACACACGTAGCACCTTCTTCTGTTTCTGCAGCAAATTTCCAGTTTCCTTACTAGACCCTGGTTTCCTTGAAGTCAAGGACCATTTCTAAAATACATCTTCATATCCCCAGAGCTTAGCATAGTGATTGTCTTGTACTGTAGTAGGTTTTTAATAAATACTTGTAAATGAATGAAGGTGCAAGTTGAGACCTCTTGGGAAAGAATATTGTAGTAGTAACAACTCTCAACTAGTGTAGTGGACAGAAACTAGAAGGAACATCAAGAATTGGGGTTCAGGGCTTGGCATTGGCTATAACTATGTTGTCAAAATTCTTCTGACCTTAGTTCCCTCATCTGCTGTATCTACAAGACCAAATTTTATTATCTCTAACTCTTATTTTAAGATTAAACTTTGTATTGCTGAAGCTGAATTTTTTAGTCCTCTATTTCCAAATTCCTTCTTACAAAACTCATTAGATTTAATTTTTTAAAACCTTTAATTATGAAAAACTTCAGACCTAACGGAAGTAGCGAGTATAAATATCCATGTACCTATCACTGACTTAAACAATTACCTACTAATAGCTAATCTTGTTTTATTCCTAGCCCTACCTACTTCTGCCTCCCAATTTCAAGTAAATCCTGAACCTGGCATTATTATATCTGTAAGTACTTCAGTATGTACGAGACATAATTTTTAACTGGTAGCTAGAACCCCTTCTGTCCCTCAATGGCTTTAAAAGTGAAAAATGTTCATTGTCTAGCATGTTGCTCTTCCCAGAAACCAGATAACTGGCATGTGATGTTCATTTCCTGGCTTAACCAAACTGTGTCAATTCTTTGAGGGGGGTGGGTGGTTGAGGGTGGATATCACAGCACTTAGCTTAGTGCCTGGCAATCAAAATAGGGGATGAATGAAAATAAACTCAATATAATTTAGGTTATTTTATTTTTTTATTTAAGTATAGTTGGTATGCAATCGTACATTGGTTGTATTAGTTTCAGGTATACATATAGTGATTTCATATTTTTAGACCTTACAATGTGATCACCCTACTACTAATTCTAGTAACCATCTGTCACTGTGTAAACTTATCACAGCATTATTGACCATGTTCCCCTTCCTCTTTTCACCCATCCTCCACCACCTTTCTTCTGGTAACCAAAAGTCTCTGTTTCCATGAGTCTGTTTTTGTTTGTTGTTTTTAGATTCCACATATAAGTGAAACCATACAGTTTTTATCTTCCTCTGCCTGACTTAGCATAATACCCTCTAGAGTCATCATCCATGCTGTCACAAATGGCAGGGTTTCATTATCTTGCTTTAGGTTTTTTTAATACAACCTTATGCATGGGAATTTAGGGCCTTGTCTTATCTCTTCACTTCTGTTCCTTCCCTGAATTCATTACAGAAAAATTTCAAATTCAAATCATGTTTTAAAAATTTATTTCATCTTGAGAAGACTCTTCTAAGCAAGACTTATTAACATGGGTGGATGCCTCCAAGGGCAGTGCGCCGCAAAAGCCCTGCCCTAGCCCCGCCCCCACATGCTGGCGGCCCTTCTTTCCCTCCTCCCCTTGCCCTCCCCCTCTTCTTCCCGGCAGTCCTAGCGCCCGCCCTGTCGCTCCTCAAGATGGCGGCCGACAGTGAGGTGAGGCGTTTGCTCTCTACCTATCTCTATCTCTAAGTTCGCTCCTCGGCATTAGCACCCTTAGGCTCAATCTCTTTCTTTCCTTCTCCTTCCCGCAGCCCGAGTCTGAGGTATTTGAGATCACAGACTTTACCACTGCCTCCGAATGGGAAAGGTGAGTGAGTCGTATCATTAGTTACATGTACCGTGGGCCCCGGCGTCTTTCCGCCGCTTCCCTAGCCTAGACAAACCACACGTGACGCCACTTCTTTGGGAAATGTAAGACCCAGGGGTCCCCTGGTCTCAGCGTTCTTCCTTCTCTGGTCAGCTGAAAGCCTCTTCCGCGTCTCGCGTGTCACAAACACCGGCCCGCCCCCGTCAGCTAAACCCTTAAGACTCTTGCTCTCAGAAAAAGTTTTGTTTACTCTTAACACTATTTTCCTTAGACCTTAGTTGCTCACACGCAGAAACAGTTTCCGTGACTACCACTTCTGTTCCGTTTTCATTTACGTTTAACTCGTCTGTTATCGTAAGCAATAAACTTTGCAGCTGCTGCTTTCCTCTCGTGTAACATTGGTATACTATATTTTTAGGAGGAAGCCTTCAGTGTACTTACTGGTGGTCGTCCATCTGCCACACTCCCACCATCTCCATCCTGTCTTTTAGAATGACCTTTTAAAATAGTCTGCATATGGCTTTGGAAAGCTTTAATTCAAGTTGTTACATTTCAGTGGGTCATATACCCAGGCTTCCTGTGCCTGTCAGACTCCACTGAACAGCTGAGTGAAATGTTGTATCATTGCAATTAGTTTAAAGACTAGTTTGTGGAGGAGTGATAGCTTAGATCGAGAAGTTTTCCGTTCGGTGCCACAGAGATGACCCTTCAGTTTTTCTGGGTTTTGAGATGAGTAGTTAGCTTATTGCAACATTTTATAATCTTTCTGGTTGGAAAAGGAAATCTGTGGATGTCATGTTGTTAGATGACATAGGATAGTATAAAAGATCCCTGCTGGGATAATAGTTTGACCTGTGGTACCTTAACCAAAAAAGAAAAGTCAATAAGACATAACCCCACTGGCAAGGCTTTATTGAGCAGGTACTGTGTGTCCAGAATTATATCATTTGTCCATTGAAGAAATATTTATTGCGTGCCCATGTTACAATCACAGTTCAGGACATTAGGTATGTGGTGGTCAATAAAAACACAGTTCCTGCTCTTACTGAACATACAGTTTAGTGGGAGAGACAGACATGAATCAAATAATGGAAATGAGTTTGTAATTACAATGGAAATAAGAGCTGAGAAGGGGAATAAACCTGGTCTTCTAAGCATGTAATCGAGGAACCTAATGAGGAGTCAGAGGAAATGACCCTTCAACTGAGATCTGGAGCTTTCAGGGATAAAGTTATTAAATTTTTCTAGTCAAATCTCAGTACTTTCAGGATAGAGTCCAATTTTTCTCTTTTACCTAGTACTGATAGAATTCATACAATAAGTATTTTAAGGTGTTTATTCTTTTGCTGTGAAAGCTATATTATTTTAAGTTATTTTTATTATAATATCTCCCGGTAGAATTAAAAAGAAAAATCATCTGTAATCCTAGCAAGAGGAGATTGCTACTATTAATTTTGAGAAAATTCCTTCTAATCTGTGTGTGTTGTAAACTTTTTATATCAAACCATATGCTGCTTATTTCTATAGCTTCCATTTTTTCATTTAACATATGAACATTTTATTATTTCCTCAAATGGTCTTTAAAACCTGATTTCTAATGAGTGCATATTATTCCATTGAATGGATATACCATTAATTTGCAACTGTTTGCTGCAGTTGGACATTGAGAGCTTTCAGTTTTTTACCTTTATAAATGCAACGTGCATTTCACGTGCAGATTTTTGCTCACATATAGATACACTTTAAATTTTTATTCCTCTTTTTTTGTAAATGTATTATTCCTAGAGCACTCATTTCCAAAACTGATAATTGCCTTTTGAACTCCCCCAAAGGAAATTAGTATATTAATTAATAATGCCTTTAATTTTCAAGAGTAATTAATTAGAAGGTTCAGTTTTATCATAAAATGATTTTTCATTACTATCTTACAACAGTAATGTAAACAATATATAATATCACTGAAGAAAAAACCTGATGCCTTTTAATATATTTTGACTAGAATTAACTTTAATACTCTAGCAATACTGTAGGTGTTTTAGAAGAGCAATGTTGCTCTTAGATTGCATCACACTTATATAAGAATTGAGCTTCTTAGAGTAATAACAAGTCTTTTAATATGTATTTAACACTACCACTGAGATTTTCATTTGCTAATATTGAATATGTTACTAGTCAAAATTTATTTTTTTAATAGGTCTGCTTGATCATTAGATTTAAAGTTTAGGTAGTGAATAGTTTTAAAATCTGTCAGTTACTCCTTAAAGCTGACAAATGTACTTGCAGTTTATTGCCAGCTGTCCCTTAAAACTTGTTTTATTTTAAAGTTCTCAAATGTTTTCTTTTTGGGGGACGGAGAGGGAGCTCCTAAATATCTTTAAAGGAAAAGTTAAATCAGTTATTTTGAGGGTGGGAAAAATATTGTGGGTTTCATAATTATCTTTAATATTACTTTGTCAGTTTTTATTTGTCCCAGATTTATTATATTCATTTTAATATAGAGAGCTTTATTCTTAATTTATATTTTATAGAAGGCATTAGACTTATAATTCAAAATCTAAGAATTCTTGGGCTAAAGAAAATTATTTCCACTTTTATTCCACATTGATAAATTAGACTAAAAATATTGAACTTATGGAGACTTCTGTGATAAAAATGTTAAAATATGAAAAATACTTTTGTAAAAGTCTTGTATAACAATAGTAAAAGATGTGCTGTTACATATTTAGAAAGTTTTTTTTTTTTGCTCCTTCCTAGGTTTATTTCCAAAGTAGAAGAAGTCTTGAATGACTGGAAACTGATTGGAAACTCTTTGGGAAAGCCACTTGAAAAGGTCAGATCTATTTGCTAGTGTCTCTAATGAGTATTTACTTTGAAACTTAGATTTTTAGACCTTTTGCTGCATTTGGTACATTTGAATTAAATATTTTCTTTAATATGTATAATCTATGAACATAAAATGACATCTGGAAGAACTTGGATTTGAATCTGTGGCAAATGATATATGTAAAGGCATTTGTTAACTTTTTCTTAAATAAAATTTAAATGTATAATGTCATTGTTTGTGAGTGATTTTATTTGTTTCTCCTGATGTTTATTTCTCTCTTCTTCCTTAGAATGTTAGAAAGTCTTCAAAGTTTTTCAGTTGGTCAGAGAAACATTGCAGTTACCAACTTTTTGGGTATTTTCCTTAATGAGGAAAAATCTTGATCTAACAACCAACTTGCTGTCATTAACATCTGTTTTACTCAATTTTTCTATTTTACAATACCACTAAGTATTCTCCCACACTTTTTTTTTTTAAACCTTATAGATGTTTTGAGGACATTTAAGAATGAAAAAGTTATTCAAAATTGAGGTAGAACTGGTACTGGTGGTTTTACTCATAAATCGTGCACAGATGTTTACAAAAGAATATACTCTGGGAATAAATATGATTTTCTTTATTTTGCTTAAGGGAACTAACAATTTGGTTTTAGGCTTACATAGATGCTTTGTTAGATAATTTTTTTGAAGTAAAATTGATCATTTTTATTATAAATCTATTATTAACTGCAATTTACCCCTCTGTAAGGAACTCTCAGTTCTCCATATTTGCTAGAATTTTTCAGCTTAATGGTGATGTTAACAATTTGAGACTATCAAAACATTAGGATTTTCTTCTTTAGCTATAACATAAGAGCAAAAGAAGTAACATTACATATAGAAATCACATGCATCATTTAAAGATATGCTAAAGTATAGAGTAAATTGGTTTACTACAAAGATATTTTTATGATTACATTTTTAAATAAAGAGAAAATGAAGTTCTCCAACAGATCATTTTATTCCATTTGAAATAAATATATAACAATTGCTGTCAATAAGATTAAAGGCAAAACTAGCTTTGTATAACTGGAAGGGGAAATGATTTGCACAACCAAAAAGAAAACTGCATTGGGTATTTGTGAGCTCTGATATATTCCTTAGTTCTATGATTTATGTATATTTACTGAATATCTGCTATGTGTCAGGGCTGAAGAAATAGTGAAGAAGATCCGTGTTGCCATTGAATACAAATTCTTACGAGAGAGAAAAAATAAATAAGATTAAAATTTTAGATGATATATTCAGTTTTGGGATATAAGTTGGGTAATGTATTGAAAGTAGGTAGCACACTGACAAGCAGGTAGTAGGGGCTAAAGGAGTGTTAGCTCTCCAACTCTCCTCCCTGTAGATAGTAGTAAATAAATGAGATACAGAAAACAGATTTCAAGGTGAGCTGTACCTATGATGAATAAAATTAACAAAAGTATAAAGGACAGGGATTATTCAGCATAGAAAAAGTTTAGAGACTGCCTTAATGAGAGATTTTATTTTATGTGAAAGAGAGTGATTACCAATTCTCTTCCTCCTTTGAGGGGGAATTAAAAGTTATTTTAAAATCTTTAATTATTAAGAATTTCAAACATAAAATAGTATAATGAACCACTATGTGCCCGTCACCCAGTTTCAACAATATTTCTTGCCATTTCCTGTTTCAGTAGTACTTCTATCAACTCTCCACGCCCATGAGAGTTTCTTTTATTAGTTGATTCTTTTGGAATAACATTTATATTGTAATGCACAAAATTGCTTATTTTGACAAATGTTTATGTCACTGTAACATTCTCACTCAAGATATTGGACATTTCTGTTACCCCAGAAAGGTCCTAGTGACCCTTTCCAGTTAATCCTCGTGCTCCTCACCCATGCCTCTGCTGTTCTTTTAATCCAGAGATTACTTTTGCCTGCTCTAGAATTTCATATATGTGGTATTATACAGCATATACTCTTTGTGTTTATTTTTTTAATACAATATTTTTGACAGTCTAGGTTGTTGAATCTAACTTTTTGTATGACTATACCACAAATTGTTTCTCTTGTTGACTGACATGGGCTATTAGGATTAAAACAGAACATTCTGGTATGAGGCCTTTTGTAGACATATTTTTATTTCTCTTGGGTAGTTCCTAGGAGTGGATTTATAGGGTCATAGGATAGTGTATGCTTAATTTTATAAGAAACTACTGAAGCTTTTTGTAACATTTTACCCTCCCACCAGCAATATATGAGAGTTTGGGTGGCTCCACATTTTCACCAACAATTGGTTTTAAGTCTTGTAAAGTTTGGTCAACCTAATGGATATGTAGTTTCTGGAGTTAATTTTTATTTCTAATTCTGGTTTTAATTTGTATTTCTGTGATGAATACTGATGTTGACCACGTTTTTCATGTGCCATTTGTGTCTTTGTAAAATAACCAAATTTTTTATCCATGTTTTAAATTGGATTGAGTTTTTGAGTTGTAGGAATTGTTTAGTCTTTTTATATATTCTGCTTTTAAATTAAGTCTTTTCTCAGAGTAGTTTTGCGAGGTTGTGAAGATATTTTTATGCCCTCTTCCAGAAGTGTTATTTTAGTTTATGTTTAGGTCTGTGATCCATCTTGAACTAATATTTGTGTAAGATTGAGGTGGGGATCAAAGTTCAGTTTTTTACATACAGATATTCTCTGTATTCTAGAATCTTCTGTCGAAAACTTATTTCTACATTGAATTGTTTTGTTCCCTTTGTCTGACAGTTGACCTAGGGGATCATCTGGAATCCGTATTCTGTTTCATTATTCTATTTGACTATCCTGATGTTACCATGTCTTGACAATTGTAGCATAGGGTTTCCCAGCCTTGGCACTATTGAAATTTTGGGTCATATCATTGTGGGGCTGTGTTGTGCAGTATATGATAATTAGTAATATCCCTGACCTCTATCTAATAGATGCCAGAAGTACCCTCCCAGTTATGATAACCAAAAATGTATCTAGACATTGTAAAATGTCCCCTGAGGGATAAAATTGCCCCAGTTGAGAACCACTGAATAGCTTTATAGTAGGTTTTGAAGTTAGTTAATATAAATTCTTTAGCTTCTGCTGTTTTCCCAAGATTGGTTTGTCTATTCTAAGTCCTTTATGTTTCCACTATGAATTTTAAGCTTGTCGGTTTCTATAAAAAGGATTATGATTATGCTGGGGCTATGATCGAGATTTTGTTGAATTTGTAGATTACTTTGGGGAGAAGTGACATTTTGACAGTCCAGAAGCTTCCAGTCATGAACATGGCACATCTCTCCAATTATTTAAGTCATCTTTAATTTTTGTCAGCAATGTTTTATGGTTTTTGGTGGAGGTCTTGCATATCTTTTGTTAAATTTATTGCTAAGTATTTTATGTTGCATTATGCATTTGTAAGTGGAATTGTTTTTTAATTTCATTTTGTAGTTTATTGCTGCTAGTGCATAGATGTACAATAAAAATTTTGTGTTGATTTTGTATCTTGGGACCTGGCTAAATGTAAAGATTCATAATCTTTTTGTTAATTCGTTTGCATTTTCTACATTCATAATCATATTGCCCATAAATAGGGACAGTTTTAACCTCTTTTTTAATATTTTCGCTTATCATTTCTTATTATTGCACTAACTCGGACCTTCAGTAAAATGTCGAATAGAACTGTTGTAGACATCCTGCCTTCTTCGCAGTGGTGGGGGAATTGTTCTGTGCTTCAGCACTAAGAACTAGGTTTTTTATAGTGTCCTTTAAAGAAAAAGGAAATTATTTTCTTAGTTTGCTGAAAAATTTTTTTTCACCACAAATGAGATTTTAATGTATTCAAATCTTATTCTGTATCTACTGAGATTATCATATGGTTTTTTTAATTCCCTGAATATGGAAATCATGTTAATATAAGAAGTTTATTATAAAATATATGAATAAGAATTACTATTTTAACCATTTTTAGGTGTAAAATTCATTTAACAATAAGTTTCTCTCCTTTCCTCCAAGTCCCTGATAACCACTATTCTATTTCTATGAATTTGATTACTGTAAGTGGGATCATACAGTATCTGTCCATTTGTGTCTGGCTTTTACATTTCTTGTCTTTAAGGTTATCCATTAACCTTAGAATGTTGTAGAATGTGTCAGAAATCCGTTCCTTTTCAAGATTGATTAATATTCCATTGTATGTATATCTGACATTTTGTTAATCCATTCATCTGTTGATGAACATTTGGGTTTTCACTTTTTGGCTGTTGTGAATAATGCTGTGAACATGGTTGTACAAATATCTCTTGGAGTCCCTGCTTTCGATTCTTTTTGCTATATGCCCAGAAATGGAATTGTTGGATCATATCATAATTTTATTTTTAATTTTTTGAAGAATTACCATACTTTGGGTGGCTACAAATTCCATTTTTTATCTGAAAATCTTTTTTTTTTTTTTACCTTGTTTTTGAAGGACAGCTTTGCTGAGGCTTGACATTTTTTTCCCAGTTCTTTAAAGGTACAGTTCCATTTTCTTCTCTTCATAGTTTCTGATGAGAAATTAGATGTCATTCATATTTTTGTTCTGTTTTGTTGTTTTTCTATCTAGCTGTTTTCAGGATTTTTTTTATGTTTCCATTTAAGCTGTGATGTTCATAGTTATATTTTCTTTGTATTTTTCCTGTGTAGGTTTGTTAATATTGAATATGTAAACTTTTTGGTTTTCACCAAATTAGGGAATTTTGGCCATTATTTGTTCAATTATTTTTCTGCCCCATTCTCTATACTTTTTCTGTGACTTAACATGTACTTATATTTGATATTTTAATGCTGTTCCATAGTTCTCTAAGGCTCTGCTGTCCTCAGTCTTTTTTTTTCCTCTCAGATAATTTCTCTTGATTTATCTTTGAGTTCATTAATTATTTCTTCTGCTGTTTCCAATTTGCTGTTAGCCCACCGGATGTGTTTTCCAATTCAGTTGTACTTTTTTAGGTCTA